TTTAAAAATAGACTAAAATTAAAATGAGACTATTTAGAGGCCACATGACTGTCAGAAATCTGGTTTATAGATTATGATCTTAAAATTTTGATGGGCATTTGAGACTCCCTGGAAATTTGCTCTGACCTTTTTTGGGCAACATTTTCTGGAAATGCGCATTGGCTTCCTTCAACTTGCTGCCTGGGCTGCAACTTGGTGCAAAGGGCCTGGCATGCACGCATGACAAGTTTTGATTCAGTGTTGTATTGTATTTTTGTATAGTGTTCATCTGGTTGGCATACTCTGCCCCTGGGGGAGGTAATGCCATAAATTTAGGACAGATGTGTGCCACAAAGGGTCTTGAACCTGACTTTATTGAAGGATGAAGCAAAGTTAAGGCTCAAACCTGAAAAATGACACCCTACTCAAGTGAAATACAAAAATGTTCGTTTCTGTAACATAAGTTAAGCATCAAGCCTAGAATTTGTTTTTTGTTTAGCTGGACATTTATACACTGATACAAGTTAGGTACCCTATCTGAGGATCACACTGGGAACACAATGCCAACAGGGGCAAAAATGATAACCTATTAAAGGATCAAGAATCTCAAAACCCATACCCTATCCTGCGGCACATACCTATATAGCCCAGTAACTCTCCCACACCCCTGTCCCCCATGACTGTGAAAAAGTCATTTTGCCCACGAAGTCAGACTCTGGTTTGGTGAGGTTGTACTGTGTTTGACGCTGGGAGAATAATAAAATTGCCAATGTTTTCCTGCGGTTCAAGGGAGGTATTAAAGAGTACTTGGCAACTTCTGAAGAACTAAACCCAGATATCTTTAAGAACAAGACAATGTTAACTTTCCATGACCCAACGTGAAAAATCAATGATCTTTGGCTTTTCAATCATAGTAATGCTAACAGGCTAGCAATTTCAAGAATAGCGTAAACTTTAATGAATGTACAAATATACAGTAATTCAAGGCAGCTTAATAAACTGTGGAATTCTTGTAACATATGTTTACACTGGAATTTCTGAGAGCAGAGCAGTTAAAGCAACTGTAAGTTACAGTGAAAATAAACCAAAGTGATGTGATTAGTTCGCGGTATTTTTACAAGAAAGTAATCATGTTGGTATGCCACTTAACTTTCACCTTCTCCAAATAGCAATGTTGATGATAAATGAAAAATGAAACTCAGACCTTCACACACAATTCCGTCACTCTTAAAACATCTAAGAAACTATATGTTACACNTTGTAACATATGTTTACACTGGAATTTCTGAGAGCAGAGCAGTTAAAGCAACTGTAAGTTACAGAGAAAATAAACCAAAGTGATGTGATTGGTTCGCGGTATTTTTACAAGAAAGTAATTATGTTGGTATGCCACTTAACTTTCACCTTCTCCAAATAGCAATGTTGATGACAAATGAAAAATGAAACTCAGACCTTCACACACAATTCCGTCACTCTTAAAACATCTAAGAAACTATATGTTACACAAAAAAGTCCCTTGCATGGCAATGTTCGTGAGGGGTTAAAACTGTTCAACATCAGCTTGTTTAGAGATTAAATCGCCAATCCAAACACGCTGACGATACAGTACATGGTCTTGTTTTCCCATCTCACCGTACAGCTGCCATCTGAAGTATTATCCCAGAAGCAAGAGCTTGCGGTGTGAAGACCAGCCCCGTTCTTTTGCATGATCACACAGGTCACGATGTACTTGAAAGGCTTGCCAAGCTTGGTTAGTTGATTCAAACACTGCTCGACCACATTGGAAGTCCACTGGTTCACTTTGTTGTGTTGATATGCGTTTCCACCGATGGCGCCTTCAACTGATTCTTTGATGATGTTGCTCACCTCATCCACGACGAAGGATGTTTCTTCTGCTGACTGATATTCGTCCATTTGGAAGGCTAATCCTAACAGGTACTGGCAAAATGGCTACAGCACAACACCTAATAGCTTTTCAATATGGAGGATTATGTGATGACCAAGGGACTTAGCAACCGTCAAATATGCTCGCCCCAGTACTCGCTCTATCAGCGTGGGAACGCCTGTTGATTAACATGTTCCGCACGAAAGAACGTGGAATTAAATAATCAGCACGTTTCTGGGATGGGAGACAACGAGGAGAAGCCTTGCAGCTTTATAAAAGGTGTGATAATTTTGATAAATTTGAGTCTCTTTGACCTAAAATCTGATAATGACCTCGATGAATCTAGCTTGAGGCAATAGAGAGGCAAAAGAGGGAGACATCAGCGCGCATAGATCGAGCATGAGCTAAATTTTTGACCTCCTAAAACATGCACCTTGTGGGCATGTATGCATTTTATATTTTCTTGACAACGTAACTACTCATTGCTTGGTTGTTCTCCTAACCATTTAACAGCTGTTAATGAGTTCATCCATTGCATAATTGGTGAATGAAATTATTTTTTTCTTGCACTGTCTTGAACAGCTGTATAAGCACATGGATAATTTAATCTAAGTGCCCCC